TGTATCTAAAAAGGCAAGAAAATAAAAATATATATGGCTAATAACTTCATCTTTGAACACGTGGAACCTAAGTTGCTTAAATCCATTTATTGAACACTACAGAGCTTGCAAATATTATTTTTAGCTTTGAATATTTGTTACTCAGATGGGCAATAAGAAGCTACTTAATGCATCAAATTAAAGCAAATTATTAAAAATCTACAAACTTAAATAAGTGTAAAACTAATTATGTAAAGCTAAACTTTATAATAATGTTTATATGATTGTAGATTATACTGATTTCTGAAATTATTAAAGCTGAAAACTTCTCAAGGACTGTTTGGTCACATGCATCCTCTCCATATGTAAGAACTGTTGCCTGTCCTTGGGAAGCTGGAGCCTAGTAGAAAGTAAATAAATATTTTCCTGTTAGTGACTTGAAAATGAACTTCCTTAATATATGGAAGAGTTTTTACTAAAGTGGATGAATGTTTTTGTCTTTTTTGTCCCTAGGGGTGTGATGAATTGGTATAACAGGTAAATTTGAGGAAGAAGGAAGGAAAGTATCTGCCTAAGAGCAAGGCCTACTTTAAACTTTCCCAAATATGTAATGGTCTCATGAACAGATGCTCAGACTAAAGCTTCTAAAGGGACTTATAAATAGCCAGAGTGCTTCAGCTGGTCATGAAATGAGAGCTCTTTACCCGCAGAGACTAGAAGGGCAGAGAATCAAGAGGGGCAATGAGAAACTTCCCTCTGATGTCAATGTGGACACAGCAGAATATTCTAGCCCCTTTCTGCCATGCTTCCTTTAATCACATTTTCAAGTGCAGGAACTATGCCCATTTCTGGCAATATGTTTTAGGATAATGGAAGATTTGATATATAGTGATGCCACATATCAAGGGCTATTTCTCCACCAGAATTTTCCACTTTAGTGTCACATTTTGTATATCTCCCATTGGGCTACATCATCATAACATTTATATAAGCATCCCAACCAGGTGCCGTGGAGACCATCATCATTAGTAAACTTTGAATTTTGTTAGTATAAAATGAAAAACTGGGAAGTTAAAAGCAGCATGCAATTAGGAGTCCGTGTTTTAGACATAAAACGTTGAAACCTGAATTTACTTCCTCCATTTATAGAAACACTGCAATCTGTGCATGTCATATACCAGTAATTAATGGCAACGTTTGCAAAGTTTTGCCTAAGTGGGAAAAAAAAAGGATAACTGATTACCTACCTGCATCCAGAGTTGGAAATATTGAGATTCAGGATGAAAATCAGAGCTGGAAAAACATTTGCTATCCTGGGGAAATACATAACCTAGACCAGAAGCATAAACTAGTGCCTTACTTATGGAGTAGAAACACTTCCATGCAGGCAATTGCTTTAGAAGCTTTGGTGACATTTCCAAGAATTCACATTCCTATCCTTGCCAACACGTTTCTCTTTCTCATTAGTCTCCTACTTTTAGGGTAGAATTTCCAGAAAAGAATTAATATTCTCCTAGCATCATCAACAGGCCAACATTACATGGAGCACTTTTGTGTAAAACGTGTAAAAAGCTTTCACTTTTGTGAAAGCAAAGTTAAATCTAAATATATTAATTTCTTGTTTAAATCAAATAACACATACAGAGAAGATTCAAGATGTAAAGTACTCCCATTTGATCCTTAAAACTTAGTGGTTTTTCTCTTTAAAGACTTTGCATGGGTAGAAAAAGCATCTATGAAGTCTCAAAGTAGAACATTTAAAATAAAGCAATATTCAGTTTGTATGATTCTTCCTAGCTGCCGTGTTGAAATCTATCCTTCTCTGTAAATATGCCCACACTTACCCTCTTCTTTATTTTCATAAATCCAAACTAAGGGAACCCTCAAAGACACAGCGTGAGTGGCCAGCTACTTAGAATAATTTAGACGAAAAGTGGAAATAATCATTTTTTACAATGAGTCCATGTTCCCAGAAAGGAGTTGTGCTATTGTTTTTAATTCATTTCTTTTCCCATTAGTGCTTTTTGAACTGATTTTCATTTATCCCTGACCATATTGACTGCTTCTGCCCATGTTCTGAATGAATCACAAGAATTACCATCATAGGGTCTGATACTAGTGCTCAGAACTATTCATCTGGAAAAAGCTCCTCCTACTTTTGTGGGAGGTGTGACAATGTGGACTTGGAAAATATATTTAATGGATTTAAAGCAGCTTATATTATTTATGCGTTATGTCAGATTGGTAGACAAGTCTCATTTCTATAACCTTAACCCCTCATTAAGGCCCATGGATGGACTTGGTTCTGGGTGTTAACTTTTTGGTTGGCAGATACTGTGAGTCCTCTGGAATACCAACCAATCCAGAGGACAATCAATGGAGTATATTACACCATTTGGTTTCAGTAACTACTCTATGTTTCATGTGGGGTATGAGTAGATTTCCTTGTTTTAAAGATGAGCAAGCTAGTCCATTTCCTTTCTACCCCTAGAACTGATCCTAATCTCTGTTTGCAAAAACATCCTTTACTAGAAGAAATTTTAAAAGAAGTTTCAGATATCCTGCTGCCATGTCACTCAGAGATTGGACCTGATTCAGTCACCCTGGAATTCTGAGGAGATTTTCTGTAAGAATTTCAGTGTCTCTGAGAACAGCTGGTTTTCCAGAAGATGACTCATTTGGATTCACATATTGCTGATGTTTACAGAACTAGGTTACACACCAGTGTTTGAATTTCTTCCACTCTTGTGTAGACGGCTGACTGCCGTGATCTGAAAAAGCCAGCTTGCATGGATAACGGGTTGAAAAATAGATCTCAAATTATGGTTTCAAAAAGTTTATGAAAAGAGAAAGAAAAAATTGCTCGGTTCACATTATCTTCAGCCATAAGATCATGGTACCAGAGTAGATCCTGCATAGTTATGCTAAATCAGGGTTCACTGTGGATTTCACCCAGATTATATTTCATTTGATCAAAACATTTAATCAATTTGCTTATGTTTAGGAATTTTTAATATTTATTTTATTCATAAATCCATAATGCTATTTCCAGTAGTTAGCATGGAATAAAGAGTTTGAATTTTTGGACACAAAAAAGTAGAAAAGACACAATATCTTCAAATAATTTATTATAGGCACATACATTTTTTTTTTTTTTTTTGGTTTTTCGAGACAGGGTTTCTCTGTGGCTTTGGAGCCTGTCCTGGCACTAGCTCTTGTAGACCAGGCTGGTCTCGAACTCACAGAGATCCGCCTGCCCCTGCCTCCCGAGTGCTGGGATTAAAGGCGTGCGCCACCATCGCCCGGCTTTAGGCACATACATTTAATTATGAAGTAAGGCATAGTAGTGAAACCCTGAACAGAAGAACATCAGGAGACTAATTTTTCTTTGGCTAGTTTACTTTTCACTATTTTATGTAGCATATATAAATTTTCTCCAATAATAAAAGCACAATATATCAATCACATGAAAGCCAGATAATGAAAAAATGAGAGGCATAGCTGTTCTACCATGGCTTGGTTGAGACTGGCAATGCAAGGTTGAGGAACCATAATCACAAAGATCACCAAAGCCAGTGAGTAAATATAAGCTTACCTTTATCCCTACTCAGACTTGATTGCTCCACCTTATATGAGACCAGATCTACCAAACAGGCCAAGTAAAATAAATTGCATTTTTCTTTTGTCTAAATGCAGCATTTTATTTCAAGATTTTTGGAATTTTTCCTACTAAAGGAACAGATTTATGATCCTATCAACCTAATATAAGTTTGCCAGCTAGGTGACTTTACTGTTGGCTGGAGCATTCACTTAGCTATAAATTATTGCTTCTTAAGCTAAAAAGGGATTGGCCATACCAGCATATCGGGTTCTTACGCAATTTTCATGGATCACATTAAATTTCTACTCCTTTTAAAAACAAACTAATATTTTCCTCACATAGGAATATATCCTCTATTGGATTTTTGTCTGTAGAGCGAGCATGACGAGGAAACATTGGGGAATAACAGTTATAAAACATAGAGAAATATGAGGGCCAATAGTTGGATTTGGTTAGACTTTTTCCAGGACCTAGTTCCAGTATTTGCTCAACAAATATTTGTTAAATGTCTGCTGTACATCAGACAGTAAAGAGCCAGGGATGAATCAGATAAAATCCCCCAGACTCCTGAAATCCCTAGTCTCATTGAGATCAGTGTGGTTATGTCAACAAATCAAGAGGGATGTGTAGAATATGTACTTCTCGAGAAATAGGAATATACAGTGTCAAGATTCACAATGGACAGGGGTAATAGAGACATTCAGGAGGCATCCTTAAGAGATGACTTTGAGATATATTTTTGAGCCAGGACAAGTCTAGCTGTCATGATAGAAAATAATTATTTGATATGAGAATGGATTAGAAGAATACACAAGAAAGGTGCAATGAGTACTTTGAACAGAAATGAGTTCTCGACGTTGGGCTGAAACTGGTTCATTTGGGTCAACAGAATTTCTTAACCTAAAAAACACAATTAAGTCTAGGTAAAGAAAACACAATGTTCTTCTTTGTACTTTTGGGCTGTGTGATGTGGGTAATAGAGAGAAGAATTGTTATTGGGTGATATGTTTAATGATTTAGTTTCTGAGGCTTGTTTGAGTTTGAAAGAAACAAGAACGAGCTGGAAGTTTAATCAAGCATTTCCACTTTCCTAAAGATACCTTCCTGTGGTTTATGAGTGGGTTGTGATTTGGCTGTGGAAGGATGTCGAATTTCCTTAATAAATACAAACACAAACTAACAAAGGACAAACCCTAAAAGTCAATTTCTTTAGTTTGTTACAAAATGAGGAGATGATTTCATCATCCTTTCATGCTATATCCGCGGCTCCTGAAAATATCTAGACGAATTAACAAGCGAGAAATGTTCTAACTTTTGCTTTGGTAACACGCAACATATCTTCAAAACCAGAAAGCAGCGAGCAACTGTGATTAGTATGGTTCTATGATGAAATTACACCCTGTCTCTCTTCTTCAAACAGATAACACTGCAGGGGTATATGCCCGACGTGGAGGGTTCAGTCGACAGAAGCAGGACTTCTACCTCCTGCCCATCGTGATCAGTGATGGTGGCATCCCACCCATGAGTAGCACCAATACCCTCACCATCAAGGTGTGTGGGTGTGACGTGAATGGGGCACTGCTGTCCTGTAATGCTGAGGCCTACATCCTGAATGCCGGCCTGAGCACTGGTGCCCTCATCGCCATCCTTGCCTGCATTGTCATTCTTCTGGGTAAGGATTTCCCTGCTATATGGTAAAAACAGTGCAGATCCTTCAAATGATGGATCCAGTACAGGATGGCTATAAAGACTGTGCCATGCTCATTCACAGAGTTTAAAACAAATCACGAGGTGTGACGACTCTCGTGAATCCTATTGCGTAATAGGTAGAACATGGAAACGGACACATTTTGCAGAAAGAGTCTAAGGAAGGTCATGATGAGCATTTTAGTTTGTGTCCCAGAACTGTAGGGCAGATTGCATCTCTAAGATGGAGGGACATGGGAGACAGTTGTTGTAGCTAAAGAGTTTAGGCAGAAACCTGTTCTGTGAGGGAGGCTTTCTCTAAATAAAAAAGCAGATAGATGAATAAATAATAAAAATGGATGGAGAAAGACTCGGGGAAATGGAACAAAGAACAGTCGTTGCTATGATGCACTGATGAAGGAAGAAGAGAAAACTCAGCCAGCAGAAGCTGGGCTCTGACCCGGCTAATTATCCCTAATTATTTGCAATGGCTATCTACATTCTTCAGCTTAAGGTGATCCCTACCTTCTGCCCATCGTGATCAGGTTTCTCCTGTTGTTCCTGGTAGCCCTCATCAGCTGCTCATGCCCTAACATTTCAGAACCAATAAATATTATGATAAAACTTTCAAATCCAGGAAGTTGGACATCATTTTATATGCTTTCCATTGAAAGAATTAATAGGACCACTTCCATAGGAAATTGGGAGGGAAGTTGGTTCAATAGTTACTGAGTGTTGTCTGGGACTCAGACCCTATGGGAAACCATGAGAGATAGAAAATATATGCTCAAAGTCTCTCTGTTGGATGAATCCATAGCTTCTTGAGGAAAGAATTCACAGTCAAATAGAGGCACACTGTAGATTTTATGATTGGGACATGAGGTTCTATAGACGTAGGTTAGAGAATGCCTAACATTGCCTATGAACACCAGGCACATATTCCTAGAGAATGTGCATAAATTCTGCAAGCAGAGTTTAACAGCTAAGGAAAGAGGCTGGATTGTATGGGTGTTCCAGACAAGATGAAAGACTTTTTCAGGACTTAATACTGGGCTGAATTAGACGCATAAATGAAAATACAGTAATAAATGCTATGATGTCATGGTGCAGAAGTCTATCTCATGTCTGTTACGGGATACCAAGAAATGTTCCCTAAATGAATGACAAAAATGAAAACAAACACAAATAAACAGCAACAACAACAAAAAATCACTAAACGAAACAAACAAATAACTGTGAAAAGGAGTGTTTCGGGATGATGGCTATGCTACAGATAAGTCAAGGGGCTCTGGCGACATTGTGAAATCTGTGTGATGTGTAGTTTCTCATCCTCAAATCCCAGAACTATGTGAACTCAAAGAAGCCCTCAATCCATTTGCCAAATGCTTCTGCAAACCTTGTTTTCATTCCTGCTGAAAGTGTGGGAGAAGTCTTCCAACAAAAGATTGTTGGAACTTCCTGATAAGAGTGGGGAGGACACAGAATCGATAGATAAAGAATTAAGAAGGGTCTAGAGCTCTGTATAAATGATTGCTTGCTCTCACAAGCAAGTGCCCAAGCCTAATGGAATTCCTTTCTTTCCCAGAAATGACAGGATGGCTTCACCTGTGCTTTTAAGAGACACTGTTTTTATGTTCAAATAGGTAGTATATTTTTCTTTCTTAGAATTTTTATAGCTGTCTTCTTCCCCATCCTTTATAATAAGGTTTACTCTGTATTATAGAGTAGAACCTTTGGACAGGAGGCTTTTTTTTTTTTTTAATCTCAGAAAGTTTAAGTTCTGAGTTCTCTGAATGTTCTATTCCTAATCTGGGTGGAAAACAGCTATACTCATTGGCATGAAGAAAAATGTACACATTTGCATGTAGAAAAATGAAACAATAATCCTCACTGATTCTTAAGAGGACAGTCAAATAGCACTGGGACTAATCTGTAAAACATTCAAGATAATTCCAACCTGTCAGGTCACAGGGCATGATACACTCCGGGTAGATAGAGGTCAGTTTGGAGCTCTTAGTGAGTTCTGGAAAAATGATAATTTTCTCAACATTCCAAGTTCTGAAGCAGAGCCCCTCTGGGAAGAGTAACCAGGGAGGCTGGGCTTAATCTTTGCTGACTTTCTTTTTCTTTCCCTACAGTCATTGTTGTATTATTTGTGACTCTGAGAAGGCAAAAGAAAGAACCACTCATTGTGTTTGAGGAAGAGGATGTCCGTGAGAACATCATAACGTATGACGATGAAGGGGGTGGTGAGGAAGACACGGAAGCCTTCGACATTGCCACCTTGCAGAATCCTGATGGTATCAATGGATTTATTCCTCGCAAAGACATCAAACCTGAGTATCAGTATATGCCTAGACCTGGGCTGCGACCGGCACCCAACAGCGTGGATGTAGATGACTTCATCAACACAAGAATACAGGAGGCAGATAATGACCCCACAGCCCCTCCCTATGACTCCATCCAAATCTATGGTTATGAGGGCAGGGGTTCTGTGGCTGGATCCCTGAGCTCCTTAGAGTCTGCCACTACAGATTCAGACCTGGACTACGACTATCTACAGAACTGGGGACCTCGCTTTAAGAAACTAGCAGACTTGTATGGCTCCAAAGACACTTTTGATGACGACTCTTAACAATAATGATACAAATTTGGCCTTAAGAACTGTGTCTGGCATTCTCAAGAATCTAGAAGATGTGTAAACAGGTATTTTTTTAAAACAAGGAAAGGCTCATTTAAAGCAAGCAGAGTTTTACAGAGAGGAAACATTTAATAAAACTGCAAGGACATCAAAGTGGTAAATACTGTGAAGTACCTTTTCCCACTAAAAAAGCAAATATTGAAGTTGTTTCTCAGCTTCATTAGAGAAAAACCACTTGGCACACACAATATTTAAATGAAGGAAAAGTCTACGGTGAACTTACAACGAAGGGAAATCGTCTATGTGTTCTGAACATCTAAGTCTCTCTTATTTTATTTTTTAATTTGTCAAAGAAGCTTCCACAAAATTAGAAAGGACAACAGTTCTGAGCTGTAATTTCGCCTTAAACTACGGACACTCTATCTGTAGTGCATTTTAAACTTGAAATATATAATATCCAGCCAGCTTAAACCCATACAATGTATGTACAATACAATGTACAATTATGTCTCTTGAGCATCAATCTTGTTACTGCTGATTCTTGTAAATCTTTTTGCTTCTACTTTCATCCTAAACTAATACGTGCCAGATATAACTGTCTTGTTTCAGTGAGGAGCACCCTATTTCTATGTCATTTTTAATGTATCTATTTGTACAATTTTAAAGTTCTTATTTTAGTATACATACAAATATCAGTATTCTGACATGTACGGAAATGTTACAGCATCACACTTATATTTTATGAACATTGTACTGTTGCTTTAATATGAGCTTCAATATAAGAAGCAACCTTTGAAATAAAAAAAAGATTCTTTTTTAATTCTGGGTTTGATTCTTAACATTGAAAAAAGGGGTTTCTAATGATCCATTTATATTTCTAATTTAATTGTGATCTTTTAATAACCCTATTTATGATCTGTTATAGTTTGCTGCTTTGTTTGTTTATTTAAATCAAATATGTTCGAGTTTTTTTAAGATAAGATTCTGTAACTTCATGTAAATTATTTTTTGTACGTTCTGGTTTTACATCCTGGCTTTTCCTCAAGTATAACTTCTGAAGAAGGACATTAGGGATCTAGACTAGCTTATGATTAGCCTATGATTTTTACAAAGTGTTATATAATATGCATTTAACCTGTGAACTCATAGTTATGAGAGACAAATTTAGGAGGATTGTCAGGCCTCTTGATGTTCTAGATATAGACTTGATACCCTACCTTGAGCATTGTAGAGTTGGAAGAGTGAATAGTCAAAACCTACACTACCCTGGCTTCCTTTATGTAAATTTTATTAGGATAAAGTAGGATGACTGGCAGTTGAAAGTGCTCATTTTTCCTCCTGTAATTTTATTTTGTCTTAAGATAATCTGAAATTTCAAGTCTTCATGAGTGAAAGGGCAATTTCCTTAGAGACCTTTATTTTAGAAGATGCTTTGGGCCATGTGCTCACAATGAGATCAGGGACCATGTTGAACCTTGAAGGCTGGTGCCATTTGTTCTGTGCTCTGTCACAGTCATCTGCAGTCGCCTAGTTTCCTGGGGATTGGAACTTCTGTGAAGGACTTTTCACTTGTACAGTGGACCAAAGGTCCAGACAAAGCAATACTTGGGGAGACAACACATAGAATCACACTGCAAACCCTTTTCCTTTTGTTGAAACACATGGCACACTCTTTTTTTCATGGATTGTGGACAATTTTGGTTATCTTTTATTTTTAACTTTACTGTGGTTATTTCATGACTCCCTGTTATATACTATTTTTTATGGCTCAGTCAAAATACATAAATAAGTGATTTTTATCTGGTGTGCTCACTTCTTGTTTACTTTGCATTGAAATCAAATCAGTTGAATATAATTCAATGGGATAAACTCACTGGACACTGCCACCTTGGAATCTTTTATCCCAGGAAGAAATGTGCATTCTCAGTACTTGTGTAATTACTGGTTGTGTTCATTTTTTTTTAGATAGACTTTGTAATCCAAAGAATATTTTGCTAGGTTTCTGAAGATCTCCAATTGAATTTGAAATGACTGAACAACTCAAAAGGAAAACGAACATCACTTGCTCAGCTGCAAGTCACCCCATACCCACCATGATCTGTTTTACGTATGTAGGAATGTAGTCAGACCAGAGATGACAACTACATTTTCACATTTTTATGTCAAAGATTTTTTTTCAGGATTGTCTACTTTTCAATAATTTAAAAAAACCTTGCTTTTCTTTTTCTTTCCCCTTTTTCTTTTCTTTTTTTGCTTTAAGGCTCTTAATGTTGTAGAACCCTCTTAGAAGCTTGGAAATAAAATGTCTTTCCCAACTCATGGAATCCTTTTTCATTTGGAATACGTTGCCTTGAAAGCAATCTTATCTGAAGCGGCCCTTCCTTATTTGGATATAAAGCAATCACAGCTTTAAGAGATCGGCACACACATACATGGAAAGGAATGCTGCTCTGTTCTACCTGTCCTTGCAAAATGGGTATGGTATTGTTTATATCCACCATTAATTCATTCATTCATCAATTTACGGATGCATTCATTCACCCAAATCTAATTTTGGATACTCTGCAGTAGCTAATTCAAGCTGTAAATTAATCCTGGCTACCATCTTTTACATTGTTTATTCTTACAAGTTATAGTCCAAAGTACCTTTTTTATTGTCTTCTATTCACCTGTTTAATGCTTTGGTCACCCGAGGTGGGTGATCAATTCATTGCTGGGGAGTGCAATGTATGATTGGATATACAGTAAGAGATGATAAGACAGAGTGTACGTTCATTATAGCTATTATGGGCAGAGAGCCTGAGAATGATGTGGAAATATGAAAGCAGATTATCTACATCTATTGGGGAACAGCCTAATGGTATTGATTCGTAATGCCCAGGGAATACAGCTCTCTAAGTCAGGTAGAATCTGGTATGGAGTGTTTGAAATTTCTTGGGTCTTTTTGTTAGACACTTCCCTACTTTATTAGTATCCTTACAGTTTGTTCAAAAGAGACATTGGGCTGCTGAAAGAACAGTGCCACACGTTATGGGACAAGCAGGACAGGACAGATGAGAAGCATACATGTCCCAAAACAGGACATATATCTTTAGGAAGATCAAAATACTATACAATGGGATTGTGGAACTCTGTTCATTACAGAATGGAAGAGAGGAAAGAGCCTCTTCAGCTCAAGCATTACAGGGCAGATCTATGCTACTGTTGGCTGTGGCATGTAAGACTTACTTTTCATTCTTTTATTTTTCTTCGTAGAGAAGCTACAGTATCATTTTGTGGAAATAACTCAGATCACTGGGCTCCATAACTTAAATGCCCTTTTTGTTTTCCAAAAAAATTTCAGAAGATTTTTGATTCCTTTGCTTTATTGTTTTATGAGACTGAGACTATAAATCTCTTCACTTTTGTCTTAGCCCATCATTTTGTCAATACTTGGTGAAGCAACCACAGTAGCTACTTTTTAGTTCTCATATAGATAAAATGTGCCCCTCCCTTTACATGATCAGTTAATGGTCAGTTTCCTTAGCATCAGTGGCCAATCATTGAAATTACTTTCTTTAAACCCTTTTTCCCTTGGGCTCTCTGACCATCTATGAGAATGTATGAAGAAGGCAGGGTTCTTGCTTTCTTGTTATGAAAGAAAAATAAACATTTTCTATGGATGATAGCACACCATTATGAGTTGAAAATCCTTTTTTCTGAAAAATTTGGTCTACTCTGACCTTGATACCTGAGACTGTTAAGAAAAAAAAAATGAGATTGGGGGAAAGAAGTTGAGTTAAATTTAGGGAGTCATTTAAATTACAGATGTTGTGAGAGCTAGGTTAGTAACAAGCAGGAATTTTAAAGCACAAGTGTGTAGCACTAGCTGGAGAAGCAGGGAGTGTGCACAGCTTGAGGAACTATTAAGTGGGCACTCAAACTCAGCATTTTCTTCTAATTGGCTTTTCATAGTCTCTCTCCTCTTGTTTTTTAAGAGCAATGCAGATTTCACTTTTATTAGGATAGCTAATACATGTAAAATTGACTTTGCATATAAATGACTTTGAAAATTAGAAAAGGATTATGACATAGTGTGTTGCTTTTTCCTTAACATTGGAGAAAGTTTTGAAGTTTCTTATTCTATGGGAGTCATATACTAACATGTAAACACATACCTTCTTTCTGTAGAACCTGGAAGTGTGTGCTAAAATGATGGACATTGCAGTTTAAAGGCTAAATATGTCCCCCAAAGTATAACAGAATTGATGTAAAGTTTGCATAGGAAAGAGTTCTGCTCTCTCACATTAAACAAGAGTCCCATCCAATACATTTAGGCTGAAGAAGTCACTGGAAATGGATGTTCCTATGGATCGGTAGCTTAACTAATACATTGAGGACAAGAACGTGGAAGGAGATGGAGACTTGTTCTCATTCATTTGCTTTGTTTATTATGTGTAGGTTGAGAATATACTGGCATTGATCCTCAGAGGACTCAGCTGTCTTTCAGGTCCAAAGTGGCTTAGAACGCAGAATTGTGATTTGTATTGCTAGAAATTCTATCTGTAAGTTTTCAAAATCAAATAGAAAGCAGAGTAGTTAGACAGCCTATAGGTGTTCATATTCTGTTTCATAGAGAAGTCAGATGGTTCACATTTTTATGGAATTGAAATATATAAAAGCAAAGAAATTTCCTCACTGGAGGTCCTACAAGTTTTTGGTGGGGGAGAGAACACTTGCAGTCCATATCCCTAAGTGGAAAGTCTTCGTCTCCTATGGCTGAAGAATTACTCCATTGTTTTTAATAACCTTCAGAAAGTATTGGTCAACACTGGGATTTCTCTGACTGGTTCAGAGGCAAAACACATTAAGGCTCAGGATTCACAGAGTTCAATTCTTTAGCAAAAGTTTAAATACAGTCTATCCCATAGCAGATGTGATTGGCTTTCAATCCTATCTATTAAAAAAAAATCATCACGACATATAATACCTTGGTGACTTCAGGTGTGTATCTTGATCTGTCTGAACTTCATTTCTCCAAATATATGATATAAATAGCAGTATCTAGTTGGTCAGGAGTGGTGAAAAACAAATTTAGCAACCTCCTGTCTCTTGATCCACTAAGAATTGCCAGGATTCACTAGAAGGTGGAAGTTGTTTTACAAATACCTTTACTATTTTCTCACCTCAGGCTCTTGAACAATGAGAGGGAAGATTCACCCCTCGGGCATCTAGTTTCCCCCTCTCTTTATAAATCAATTCATTCCCACTTTCTTCTTGCTCCTGAATCTAAACAGGTAACAGATGTCTGTCTTGACACAATCATAGATTGGTTTGGACAGAGAACTGACTGGCAGTGTTCCTACACCAAAAGATAAGAAGAAAGCAAAAAAAATAATTACTTTTTCAGTGGATACATGGAATTTTGTGTAAACTAAGTAGCATAATACTGGAAAAGAGATATATAAAATAGCTATTAAGTATTTTTTCAGACTATAGATTCACATGTCTATGAAATATATATCTATACACACACACATGCACACACGTGTGTGTATTGATGCTATCCTTTCTGTGAAGTAACATTATAAAAGATTCGGAGAGGAGGTATTTATTTTGCTCAGTTTCAGAGGTCAGTCTATGGCATGGAGAATGTGGTATAACAAAATAATTCATGTCACAGCAGTAAGAAACCATAACAGGAGCCACAACATGAAAGGATCAGGGAAAGACAGAGTCCCATAACCTACTTCCTTCATCAATGCTCTACATGACAGAGTCTCACCCCTTCCCAGAAGGATACTTTATGTCCATAAAAATGCCAGTAGATGTATCCATCCA